CCACAGTGCATTCTTTTGGAGTTTAAAGAAACCTTGAAGCATAAAGACACAGCTAATAATACTGGAAGCATCAGAAAGCTCCACGGCCCCTGCTGCTGGGGAAGTGTCCAGTTAGGAAGGCTGATGAGAGGGAGCAAGTCGTGACTATCTGTTCCATTAGATGCCCATCTCCCTGTCCAATCCTCCTGGAGCCTCACTTTAAAAAACACTGCCTGACTGATCAAAACGTGGAGCAACAGATTATTCATAAACACATTCCTGGAATTTACAGTCTCCCTGTTTCAGTACTGTGCACAATTACCAAGAACATGGCTGTTGAGGGTCGGGCTCAACATCAACTCCAATTTCATTAGAAGAGGCATCATTTCATTTTGCAAACACAGACAAACATACATCTTCTGAATTGTCAGTGCAGCGCTATTACCTGGAGCCTGAGCACTGATCCTGCTACTCTAGTGAGCATATTAGCTTAGCTTTATGAGAATGTTTGCTCAAGGTGTGTATTTTTCTTGCATAACATGGCAACTAGAACCATTCAGTTTCTCTGTGCTGGATCTGTTAAGAATAATAGACCTAATCACCGCAAGGTCAAACTAACCTAATTTTTGCTTTTCTGTTGAAATTAAAATCCCTTGTACTGTCTGTTCACCATTTAATGCTAATTCGTTTTCTCAGCAAGATCAGCTCTTCCAGATAATGCCACATACCTCATAAGGCCTAGAACACAGTAGTAATTCAAGAAAAAATTCTTATAGTTGACTCATCATAATCAAACATTAGGCATAAATTTAGTCCTACAGACAGGCGCACAGCTGCAATGCTGTTCCATGAATATGGTCCTGGGACCTTGTAGATCACAAGCCTGAATATAGAGGAAATACATGTCCTAACTAAGAGGGAATGAACTTGCAGTCAGGTGAGCTATAGGAATTCTTGATGTACTTATTCCAAGGCAAGGCTTTGGGCCATGCTGACCTATAGGACTCCTTATGTTTATAGGACAGGAGTCCAGATGGGGAGGGAGAAAGAGAGTGTGTGTGGGGAAGGGATATGCTAGCATATTTCACATTTTGTTTAAAGAAATAAATGTAAACAAAGCTCTAGTGCCTGGTATGTTCTTTGCATGCTCTCAACACACAGAATTTTCCTTCAGAAAGCTTAAAATATGTATTTGAATTCCGGGTGTGTGTGTGTGTGTGTGTGTGTGTGTGTGTGTGTGTGTGTGTGTGTGTATACATGGAGAGGCTGTGTGTGTGTGTGTGTGTATGTATGTATGTATGTGTGTGGACGTACATGTAGAGGCCAGAATTCAACATTGGTGCTGTCCTCACAATAGCTGTCAACCTTCCTTCTTTGCCACAGGGCCCTGTCACCGGGACCTGATAAGGCTCTACTTGCTGGATAGTGAGCTCTCGGGATCCTCTTGTCTACACCTCCCCTCCCTCACCCCCGTCCCTATATTGCATAAACCAAGTGTGGTGTATATGCCTATAATCTCAGCTCTTGGGAGGTTGAGGCAGGAAGATCAGAAGGATCATCCTAGCTACACAATGAATTGAAGGTCAGTCTGGGATACATGCAACTATCTCAAAGAAAGACAGATGGAAGGGAGGGAGGATGGACAGATACTATGCTAACAGAACTGTGACATATCAAGTCCAGTGTTTTGTCCTTGATCATGAGTCAAGAGCTGGTGTTAAAGACTTGGATTCAAAGGGCGCTCACTTCCAGACACCAAGGAAGGTCATCCTCACACTGAAGTCAGGCTGTCCTCATCCTGTTAAAGCCCAAGAAAACTATCCCACAAATAGAATAAGAATGGATTATGCCCAGCATCACATCACTTTAATAACTTTCTGAGAGCACTGACAAATTTAATTTAGAAAAGATAAATTTGGACTCCAGCTCATAAAATTAAGAAAAATATTGTTCCTAATGGTCAAATTTCTTAAATTGCCAGTTCTATTTAGGCAAGTGATTTATTTGATGAACAAGGCAAGCCTTAGCATCTCTCTGCCTCCATCCTTCTCCCTACCTCTCCTCTTCTCTCAAAGGAACAAGATTCTGCACTGTTTTCTGTCTGTCATATTGAAGTGTCTCACGATGGCCACACTCATTTGTACAAATGCTTCCACAGCTTCTGCTCTGTGCAGAGGAGCCACTCTCCACACAGTTTTCTATATGAGGTGCCCTGGGGTGGCTGTCTATGAGGTGCACCTGAGTGGCTGGCTGTCCTAACGGAACAGAACTATAGAAGAATAGGGACCCTTGCTGCCCAGGCTTTCCAGGTTTATGGACAGGTAAAGTGCAGGCTCCAGCCCTTCTGTGTTTTGTGTTCTGGGGGAACTACAAAATATCCCCAAGGCCTGGGAGAAAATGCAAAATACTGGCTCTCACAAGTATCATGACTCTTGTTAGTTCAGAATGCTTGTTTTTTGCTAGTCCTCTGTGGCTGAGAACTTCTTTCAAGGCAGAATAAAGATCCATTAAAAACAGATCCAAAGAAACATATTCAGCAAGATGAATGCTTTTGCATAAAAAAATGTTTTAGATCACCAACCAACTTATCAAAATCAACCTCACTATCTCTGTGCTTTCAGTCCTGGCAATGTTTCCAACAGGACAGTGGCTGTTTTATTTTCTTAATACCTGGTCTTCCCAAGAAGGCAAGTCAAGTTCAAATGTGTGGTTTGTGTGCACATGGTCCAAATTCCCAGAACACTTTTCCCCATGGCACTAAATTCTAGGATTTTTCATGAGTTAATAATATGTGCTTGTGAGTTTTTCCCTCCTTGCCCTCTTTCCATGAATACTGTATTTATTTCCATTCAGATGCCAACAAAACAGCTGTAACTCTACTGTTTGTTGTTGTTTGTTTTTGGCTATTAGGAAGTGTAACAGGGCTATTATTTTGTTAAGCTGCACAAGGACAGATAAAGATGAAGATATGAGAAGGGAAGAAGAGGAAGGATGCAGAGGTCACGAGGGAGCAGAAAGGTTGAGTCAGGTGAAGAACAGAAGAAAGGGTATGTGATTGGGGGTGGTAGGAGAGGAAGGGAGGGAGAAGAGAACTGGGATTGTCATGTAAATCAATCTTGTTTCTAATTCAAATAAAAAAATGAAAAAAAAATGAAGATACGACCAACTGTGCTGAGGGTCAAGATCTCGCTTTCAGTCTCCATATCAATCCTACATCTATCTTGTAACAGGGAGATTAGTGTCAGCGGCTCCTGAAGATACTGCAAGACACTTACTTGTTGGCTGGGCTAAATGAGGTGTTGTGCAATTTGAAAACACGTCTTATGCAGCCTCACATTTCCACTCTTTTCTTAAGGTCTGAGGTGTGTAAAATAGGCTAAAAACCATAGAAACTGAGCTGGTCTCAACCTCATCACCATCATCTTGGTCTCCATTATTTTCCTGTTCTCCATCTTTCCCTTGATCTATGTCTTGCTTTCATTAGCATCAGTGATTCCCCTTTATGCTGCCTCAGGCTCTCCTTTAGTGTAGTGTGCAGCCATGTCCTTTGCATGCTTCTCATTCCTTCAGGCTGCTGTCACTCCCATGTCTCCAGTGTCTCTGGAACAGTATCAGTGGGTAGGCAGGCTGTGTGATGACATTCAGAACAGAGCAGGAAGGCCAGAGCAGGCATGATGGATGCTCTGGACCCCTGAATGGCTGTCTTTACCATGTCTTCACCTGTTTCTTTCTTCTTAGCAGACATGGTTGCTCACCTCTGCCACTAAGAAGCTGATGGAAGCCCATGGGTGCTTTTGTCCCTGCTCCTCCTGGTACAGTAGACACAAATGATAGTATTTGCCACTGGGTTTCTTAGGGTCTCCTTGGCCTAGGTTTGGTTGTTTTTCCTCAGCTGAACATCCACTTGGTACCTATCTGGTTATCACTGGCCCTGACATTGTCTCCACAGAGTCCAATGTATAGCTATGGTGCCTTTTCCCTGGTACTTCTCTGGATCTTGGTCTCCACTGAAGACCAACAGAACTCCACTCAGTAAAGTCAGTCTAATCCCCTGACTGCAAAGCAGTGGGCCAAGAATGTGTGTGTGGGAGGGGAAGCCCAGGTACTAGAATAGAATGTGGTAATATAGCCAGGGATGCAACAGAGGCAATCATCATGGTAGCACTGGTTTCATGCTTCCAGGAACATGTCTAGTCTTGGTGTGTCCAACCTGCAGCATATACATTTCTCATAGCGGCTGTGAATGTGGCCCAACACATTTGCTAACATCATGTCATACTGTTAAGAAGTTGAACATACCTAGTAGTTCACCTCTGCCTTGCTTTTATGATAATCCTTCCTTCTACCTGACTGATCAGAACCTCTGCTAAGAGAACATTCTGTCACCACTAACTTCTGCTCAGCATTGAATTATTCCTAAATACTGCTTGGCTGCTGTCTTCTGATTGGCCATTTTCTGAGGAAATAAAATTAGGTTAAGAAAACGTGAAAGCCTGGATTTGATTTTGACATCTCCAAGTGTCTTCCGGGCCTGAAGTTTTATAAAAAACAAATCTCTTATTTGCTCTGGTTAATTTGCTATCACAGCATCCATAGTTGGAGAGTACATTCCCCATCTGTACATCACCCACAGCAATTTCAGAGTGGTAAACATGTTTGTCCTGATGGTTACTGAATATTTAAAGAGGTACCATTTTCCTTAGCTCTCATTTTCCTCTGCACTTGTGACTAATATAATATTATTATATTATTATATAGTGAAGACTTGAATCTGACAATTTTCTATTTTGATAATTTCTCTCCATCATCTGACTTTATAAAGGGGAAAAAAAAACATGCATCTATTGTCATGCAGGGAGATCAGGATCTTTCAAATGCTTAAGAACAGAGGGTACAATGTTGGGTAAAATGCAAGAGTCAAATATCTGTTTCAACAATGAGGAAGAGGGTTTGAGAGGAAGGAGGAGGAGGAGATGAGCACCAAGGCTGTGATGTGCCAGGGATGCACTCGCCCACCTCACCTCTTATTCCTGTCCTCCAACTGCAGTGTGAACACCATGTCATCAGCAGCGTGTGTCTTGGAGTTACTGTCTCCCCACTTCAGCTTCAGGCTCTGTGGACCAGATGCAGCACATTCCAGCCTAGGAGGCAAGGGTGGTAAAGGCCGAGTCTTTGCTTTAATGAACTGACTAAATGGTCCAACTCCAATTTCGTTGATGGCCTGAATTCTGATCCTAGAGGGTGGGGGAGAAAGACAGCATAGATTTAGGAAGCTGAATTTTCTGCATTCAAAACGAACATTTTGCTGGAACATTTACTACCTGTCCATAAAGCAAAGCTGTGGAAGAGCAGCTAGAGTAAACACTGGACAGCTCAGGAGAGGTCCTAGGCTGTTTCTACACATAGTAAAACAGGGCATTAGCAAATGTCCCTTAGGGTTTTAACTGGGAAAAAAAAGCAAGTTTGCTGTCTGAAGGACACCTGCAGACATGATCTTATACTCTGGTCTAGCCACTGATGACTACCTTGAATTCAGTGTTGGAATTAGACTATGCATAAAGAACTCATTAGAAGGTGAATAAATTCCCAACAATCCTCTAACAGGACATTTGGCGTCTTCCCTTACCAATGGCTTTGCAAGTCCTTAGCCAGAGCCAGGAGATCACCTGCTGATAGTAGCAGGGTGTCACTTAGTTGTATGAGCTTTTAACTGGATGCTTACTGTGTGCAGTGAGATTTATCAATCCTGCTGGAATTTAAAATCTATTAAGTTAAAATGTGTACACAGAACCTTACACAGTGTGGATACTACCCTTATTTTCCATTTTCTTCTACTTCTCAACTTTCTGGTTAGCCACAGTTCTCCAAAGTCACCAAACAATGTGTTGATGGCACTGTCCACTCATGCTGCACACTGCTCTGCAGTGTGTGCTACTAAGGCTTGCCCCCACCCATCCACTCTGGGGGTGTTTCTCCTCTAGTGCTCTGAACAGAGGGCTTCTCTACTCTACTCTTTCCTCTTCTTTTTTCTATATAAGCATTCATTTACTAACAGATTTCTCAGCCTCATGTCTTCATGGTGTCACCCATGTTAAGTACACTTAGATCCATGGCTTCCAGTTTCCTCATGACTCCTAACTGCCACTCCAATGGTACACCCTCTCAAAAGTCCTTGCTAGGTTCAGAGGAACCTGAACTCAAAATCACTGAGTTGACGGAGAAGGTAGTGTTAATAGCTCAAAAAGTTTAAATTTTGAAACTTGATTTGAATTCATAACATAGCTTTTCAAAACACATTATAATGGATAATATAGTCTAAGGAGAAATATTTGGAGAGCAGATCATTTGTACATATTCCTGTGATTTAGTTACTTTATATTACACTTAAAGCTGTTTCATTTTTTGTTTTTACAGACAGGGTTTCTCTTTACAGCCCTGACTGTGTTAGAACTCACTCTGTAGACCAGGCTGGCCTCAAACTCAGAGATTCACTGGCCAGACCACAGCATGCATGCCTGGCGTGTACACCCTCCTATTTAACAGTATTTGTTAGGAATACCAATCAGTACTGCGAACAAAAGGTATAGAGAGTTAGAGAAAAAAAAAAAGAAGAAATGGAACCCACAAGATGCTGATGAAGATGTTATAAAGAACCTACCCAAACAGAGAGGCTAGAGACTTCACAGATGTGACACTTCACAGTAAATGTGTCAGTTCTCCCAGAATTGACCTACAGACACAATGTCCCAGCCCTTGGGGAAGCTGAAGCAGGAGGATGGAGCACTTAAGGCCAGCCCCAGGTGCAGTGTAGGGCCTTGTCTCCAAAACTAAATAAATACATAAAAGAATAAAGTCAAAAGTCCTGGCAGAATTCTTAGGAGATAAAGACAAGCTAATTTTAAAAGTGATATGGAAAGGAAGTAAATTAGCCAACACAAATATGAACAATAGAGTAAAAGTAGATGAATAGAACCACCTGACTTTAGGACTCATTGTAAAGCTACAGTGACCAAGACAGTGTGGTAAAGAGACAGACATGTAGATCAATGGGACAGGATAGAGGCTCCAGAAATAGACCTACACAAATATGGCCAATTGATTTCTGGCAAAGGTGTGAAGGCAGCTCAAGGGATGAAGGATAGTCTTTTCAACAAATGGTGCTGAGAGCAATTGGATGTCAACAGAAAAAAAAAATAAAAACATCAACTTAAACTTCACAACTGAAAAAAAAATGAAGTAAACAAACAAACAACCACAACGTAGCTTAAACATTGACCAAAGACCTAAATGCAGAATATAAAATTTTTAGAAGAAAACACAGGAGAACATTGTCGTTACCTAGAACTTGGAAAAGAGTTTTCATATGTAACATAGAATGCATGTGTGTGACTAGAGAAAAGAAAATCTGGGTTTTATTCAAATTAAAATCTTCCTAAGATTTTACACACTAATCTTTCACACTAAGAGGATGAAAATGAGCTAGAGACGGAGAGAGAAGACTGCACACTGGACATCTGATATCAGTGACCTCCTCAGAGCTCAAAAGGAAGGTGGAAGATGTGCTTCAGTCCAGTACCACACATGTCTCACCCTTTCTCTATCTATCCCTACACACACACAAACACTGTAATGAGAGGAGACAGGGAGGGGGAAGGAGGAAGGAAGGAAACACCATCAAACAACACAAAATACATGGAAGAATAGAACAGACACCAAAGAGGACACACAAGCTGATAAATAAGCAAGGAAATGCTCCACATTGGTCACTTGAAAAATGTGAATAAAAAACACCAAGACACTATTATACATTTGTATGTTAATACATGTATGTATGTATGTATGTATGTATGTATGTATGCATGTATGTTTGTGCGCATGAATGAAACAATGAGCTGCACTGTTTCTTGAAAAATCCAAACATAGAGACTGGAAAGATGGCTCAGTGGTTAAGAACACACTGACTGCTCTTCCAGAGGACCTGGGTTCAATTTCCAGCATCCACATGGCAGCTAACAACTGTCTGTAACTTCAAGATCTGACATCCTCACACAGACATACATGTAGGAAAACCACTAATGCAAATAAAAAATATAAAAAAAGAAAATACAAGCATATATCAAACATGTATGCTCTTAGTTGTTTATTCCAGAGAAATCAACACCAATACTTCACACAGAAGCTCATCAGTTTTATTCATTGCACCTGCAACTAGATGAGGTTTGGGTACAGCAAACCCTCAATCCCCTGGAGATGACAGAAAAGCCACCAGCCATCAAGAAGGGCCTTACTTCTCTTATTTCTAGTATACAAGGAGAAATCACCCAAAATAACAAGAAAAGGCTAGAAGTTTCTTTGCTTCTCACAGGAGCCCTTAGAAAAGCATCACAGTATTAGTGGCTGTCCCCTTCTCCACACCCAGGCCTGAAGTGCAACCAAGGCTTTTGCAACCAGAGAGGGGAAATCCTTGAAAAGCTGTCATGCTGTTGGAAGTCATGATGACCACTCTCTTCTCAGGAAGAGAAGGCAGACATTAAGCCTAGCTCTCCATCACTGCATCTTCACCTATGAGATTTAGCCGAAGGTCTTTGCAGTGTCCAAGTCATGGCTTCTTCCCTTTCATTGAGGACAGGGTTTATCTACAGTCCCTAGCTAAGACACTTCCTGCCACTGCTGGCCCACAGTCCTTCAGAGCCAAGCTCCCCATGTATTCCAAGGAAGACCTTTATCTTTTCTTGTGATCTGTGCCGCCCAGCAGTTGTTGGTACACAAAAGTTATTGGGTGGCTTAGGACTGCTGCTCTGCTGTCCTCAAAAGAAGATGAAATGGAAAACAACAACAACAAACCTAAGAGATGAGACTCATTTATCAGAACAAAAAAATGGTTTAAAAAGACTCAAGTTTGTAGATAGTATAATTACATTCACTTCCTCAGAGCCTCTATAGCAGTGCTTCTCAACCTGTGCGTCGCGGCCCCTTTGGCAGGGTCAGACGGCCCTTTCAGAATGGTCACAAATCAGTTACCCTGCACATCAGATGTCTGCATTACGATTCCTAACAGTACCAAAACTATGTTATGAAGTAGCAATGAAAACAATTTTGTGGTTGGGGGTCACCACAACACATGCTAGGCATGGCAGCCTTGGGAAGGTTGAGAACCACCGCGACAGTACTTTGGTGCATATGGAGCTCCTCACATCTCTACGCCTATGGCTTTCTAATTGCTTACATTTGCTGGCACCTAATCTTCCACCAGTGCCAGCAAGAATAGTATGGTGGCATGTGACTGTCATTAGCTGGGCATGCGATCTCCCCCCCCAGAAAACACTGAGCATCAGTCACCAGCACCAGCAGGAACACTGTGGTGATGGCTTCTTTGAGAGCCTGCTCATCCTTTTGCTCTTTAAAATAAGTCATCTAACACCTGTAAGCAATGGTTTCCTCATTAGTGAATGAGGATGGCGCCACCTTTGCTGAACTGGCTAATGATTAATTAAGAGGAGGGAAATGGGACATATGTTTTAATTTTCAATATCTTTCCGATTCAACCAGAAAAGTATTTGAAATGGCCAAAAGCACATTGGTGGACTCCAAAGTGAGACTTTACGGAGTTCTTCACACAATGGCTACAATAGCAGAAGCCTGACATCGATCAAGACGCCACGAGTCATTCTAACTACAAGGCCAGAACCTTTGTCAATCTGACAGTGCAGAGAACCTTACGTAGCTCAGCTGTGTTCAGTGGCTCAAACTGACCCTTGTGTGGATGTGTAAAGTGTGCTCAGATGTGGGTGTGTGTGGCTTGCACTGACCCACATGTGGGGTGTACTCAGCTGTGTTCAGTGGCTCACATTGACCCATGTGTGGGGTGTGCTCAGATGTGGGTGTGTACTGGGTCCCTTTGGCTCAGCATCTTCCTGTATTCCCTATTTTGTTGCCAAAATTTGGACCTAACATGGCTGTGAACTCAACAAAAGGGTAATTTTTACTTAAACCACACATTCAGGTCACCAAGTACTCTCTGCCAGTAAGAGCCAGGACGTTTATTTTCACTTCACTCAGCATTTTATCCTGAAATCATCTCCCGAGCCCTCAGAACACTCACTCCAACTACCCACATCTTTACAGGGGTACACTGTGTGTCAGTGTAAACAACCAGCTGGACCACGGATGCATCGAGCCAACATTGATTAATTAATTAGTTGACATTGGGCTGAAGAGCTGACAAAAGGAAGCT